TTTTTAATAAAAATATAAAAAAATTATGTAGAATTTATTATTTTAGATAACTTCTTTTGATCTATTTTTCAATTATATTTTAAATAAACTTATTTAATTATATTTTAAATAAGTTTTCGGAATTTTATTTCATATTTTTTATTTTAAATAAATTATATCAATTAGGGATCGATCGTGTTAAAAACAATTTTAAAGTATGTATTTTTAATAAAAGAAATAAAACAGTTATTTAGTATTTATTAGTTTAATCCTTAGTGCACACCTTAATTTTGGGCAACCTATTACTTGGGTATCCTTTATTAACGTAATAATAATTTATCAATTCGCGTTCAAAGATGTTTAATTTTCGTGGATTAATGCGACACTCGGAGCGACTCGTGTCACGGCCATCTGCGTCTAAAGTCGCCGGGCGAATGCCGAAGTGATAACTGAAACGTAGTCAACCACTACGCCGCGCACGCGCGGCATGCTCCCCCCTCGCTTTTCGCCGGGCGCCGTTCAGATATTCATCTATTGCGTTTAAAAAAATATTCACAGTTTATTCAATTATTCATATTTTACACGATTTTGACAAACGGATATATCGTATTTCGCGCTTTGCTTTGTGGTATCTCTGGCATTTGTTCAATCTTATATTATATTATTTGCGCGATTCTTGTACTTAGTAATTATTCGCGTGGAGTATTTTTGATATTCCAACATTATGTCTCAAATTTTATTATTCTTTTAAATGATTCATACTTAAATAAAAAAGATTGATAATATTTTATACTTAATATTCTATTCTTTATGTAAAGATAAATGCAAATTTTCTTGATATTGTGGAATAATTTGTACTAAATGCAGCTTTGGCTAAGTATTAAATATCTTATTAATCATTATTTAATTTTTTAGCTAAAAAATTAATTTATGACGTTACTGTCACTGCAAATTATTTTGTGTTTAAAAATTCTTTAAACTTACGTATATTGCCGATCTTAAAATAACTTGCAATTTATTTAAAATAAAGAATATAAAATAAGTTCCAGAAACTTATTTAAAACATAAAATCATAGAAATCAGTAAAAAAACTGACTTGTTTAAAAAAAATATATTAAATAGGTTCCGAAAACTTATTTAAAATATTCAATAAGAAATAAGTCAGAAATATAGTTATTTAAAATAATAAAACTAAATTTTTTAATTTTTTTTATTTAAAATATATACTTTCAATAACTTTATTTTAAAAAAACTTTTTCTAACTTATTTCTGGGATTCTAAAGTTCAATTTTTTGACATTTAGGAGAAATATCCGAATTGGCTTCATGAATTGCAAAATTTTTTTACACAATTAAAGAACGTATGAAAAGAAATCCCGGAAAACATGAGAAAATCACGGGAAAATCGGAAAAAAATTTAAAAATTCACTTTTTCTGATACAACAACTTTTTCTGGTTAAAAAATTTACTTTTTCTGGTCAGTACAACTCTCGTTTGACATTAACATTTGCTTGATATAAAAGTGTTACAGTTTGTAGATTGAAAATGGTTTATTAAAATGATTTAATAATAAAAGTGAATTAGTCCAGAACACGGATGATCCCACTTGTGTAGTAAGGGTATTCAAAACTAAGATATCAAGGATT